CTAAACATAAAAGTAAACATTGGGTTAGGACATTTAGTTAGGTTAGGACATTTAGTAAGGTAAGGAAATTTAGTTAGGTTAGGACAAATATTTAACCCTAAACACTGCGCCCGACTGATTTAACCCTAAACGTAAAAGTAAACATTGGGTTAGGACATTTAGTTAGGTTAGGAAATTTAGTTAGGTTAGGACATTCACTCGACAGATTTAACCCTGGGGGATAATTTAAGTTTAAATTTGGGGATGATCCGTGACTTTTAACCCCCCCCCCCCGAAAAAAAAATCACTAGAATAGCAGATCAATCTCAACACAGTTAATAGAATTACTAAAATCCAACTACCGGTAATGGTCTATTATCAATGCTGCATTCCGATTAGTTAGATTTTACTAAAAAACTTATTCCTCTCCTCCTCATGGGCTCTGAGTCAATAGCCCATTCGGGCTCAAGGAATGATTTTTAATTAGCCAATTAATGCAAAACCTCCATGTCATATTGGAAAAAATAAACATTAGTAATAGAAGTATGATTTCAACACACCTGATTCATTTTTTTTTGGTACATGAACTTTTTCCTCTTCGCACTTTTCAATGTCTGGGCTGAAGCTTTTTCCCACCAGATCAATTTCATCTTGTTCAGTTTTCATTGCCTGTAGATACCTGATTTTGAAAAAAAAAAGACAGTTTTTAATAATTTCAGTGATTGTCACCATTAATATTTGTAGGTTTACTATTGCAAAATTACAGTCAGACAGACCGACAAAACAAACTGACATCTAACTTTACTATCAAATGACTTCTTCACATTCTGAAGTGTTCTTTTCTTATCTTGTTTATCAGAAAGTTAAGCAGCGAAATGTAATGTTGTACTTAACAGGAGTCACTTTTTGTTATTTTCTTAGTCGTTTTCCTCCTTTATAAATACAATGTATGAACAAACCTTAATGCTCTGGCCTCGTCACTGGCATCAATAACGTCAGGATTGTACCCTGGCTGCAATTTCCTGTGAGTTTTGAAGTCATCACATGATGTGCTTGATGGGAGACCAAACAAGTCCTAAAAAAGATAAAAGGTGTGTCATCTTATGTTATATTTCTTACCTTCTTCATAACAGGTCATAAATATTCACAATAAATGTGCTAGGTACTAAGATTAACTCGCCATGGATGGGTCTAGAATTTAAGGTCTCGAATTCAGGGGTTGAAAGACTTCTCTGGTCTTAAGTTTAACATGAAAAATTTCTGTGAAGAGAATGGGCCACTGAAAGCTTTCCTCTTTTGGATAATTTACTTAACATGATTTGTTATTAGATGGCTAGGGAAAAATCTAATCTTTAGATCCAGTTTTAACCATTTAATTTAAAGTGTGACCAATCGAACATCAGTCCACGTCGCAAAATTTTATGTATCTGTGCATAACCAATAACCAACATTCATTCTATTATCGAGATGTGTATGGTGAACAGTCATAAGAATTTGTGCATTTGGCAGTTTCTATTTAGCCGTATAACGGTTGTATTGTCATTAGAACCTTAATTGGTCATGAATATATTCAAATGGAACGTTTTTGTGTTTATATTTGTCAATACTGGGGTGTTCTGGTTGTTGACTTTACTTGTAAACTATTGCAACAAATTCAGTGTTTGAGGCATACCTTCATAAGATCAAAGTTGGTTTCCCCAAGGCGGATTTTGTGCATCTTTCCAATGGTTTTCATCAATGGAACAAAGTGATGGTTTACACCTCTTCTTAGTTTTCCAACAAGATTTCTTATAATTGTGACTTGAACAGGATTTGTTTGGTCAATGTCCTCTTTAAAAAGGTGCAGCAAATCTACAATTAGTTTCTCTTGGTATTTTTCTTCACAACTTTCCTGGAGCATTTCTTCCCAAGTTTTTGACTTCTTCACTGACAAACTGGTCACTGTTATTCCCAGCTTACGGTTTGAATCCTGCAGCTCTACAACTTTTTCCTTTATTTCATTTTTGAGTGCGTAGTCATGACGGAAACCCTTTTTTCCTATCCTGTTCTCACTGCTTGCACCATACACTGATTGATCTCGCTTTTTACTTAAATCCACTAGATACTGTTGTTGTGAAAAACAAGGTCAAGGGGTGACGGGGAAGCCCAGAAGGTTTTCCAGTGCATGGTGGATCTATGCTTTTTATTGCTCCCTTAACAAACAATTTCTGGCCTTTGTAGGTAACTTCTCTGTTTAATAACACATATATTGCCCTGGCAGGGCGTGACTTCGCAAGCTCCTCTGCTTCCCCAGGGTGCTTATCCTTCCAATCCTTGAAAGTGGAACATGTCGTATGCCCTTTTTCTTTTAGAAAACATCTAAATTTGCCTTTTGCCCTCTCTCGCTCAAATAATGTCTTTGTTGACACTTTTCTAATTGAACAGTCATCTTTAAAAGACTCAACCATATTAGGGTTTTCAAAAAAGTGGAGGCACTCTGAGCTTTGACTATCTGGCTTGGTGATTTTTAGAGCTTTAGTTATCGTTCTCTGTCGAGGCAATGGCTTAGCATCTCCTACTACACCTCTATTGCTACTTATATCCTCATCCAGCTCTTTTGAGCCTGAGAGGTACATGGCAGCAGACTGATGGACTCTGGATTGGTGGTGAGCCACCACCTGAGATATTCCATCAAACTCCTTTTGCGTAGATTTTCCTAACTTGATAAATTGTCCTCTTCGAAGACAGCTCTCTTCATAGATTTTGCAAATTTCACAACGGAGTGACACCTGATCTTATTTCGTAACCTTGACAGACATATGCATGTATACTGTGGGAATCGGTCAGACTCGTATGTTAAGTCCCTGAATTCTTTAGCCACTTTTGTGGAAATTTCAAGCGGGGGGAAGGCATAACAAAGGAGTGCTCGAAAAGTATTGACAATGTTGTTGCTACACTGAGATGATTCCTGATAAATTCGAATTCTTTCACTGTTATTCATACGCATTGATGGACAAGGGATTTTTTCTGCCAACAGTTGTTCAAAGCTTGAGCAGTTGAGATCTTTTGGCTTTATTTCTTGTATCTTAGTGTTACTCCAGCTTTTTGAAAGAAAGGATTTTCGCTCAAAAACTTGTGGTTTTGTTTTTATGCCTGTATCATCCCAGTCTGGCATTTCCCCCAGATCTGGCATTCCATCCTGGTCAAGGGGAGCAAAGGTTGCCGTCTCACCTTTTTGTAGTGGTTCTTCCAAACCTGTGATGAACAAATCTTCATTTCCTGGTTTTCTTTCCAGGCCTGTAGTGTCCACATCACCCTCATCCAGGCCTGTTGTCTCCACACTATTACTTGTTGCTGTTTTTTTCCAGGCCTGTCATGTCCACATCTTTTTTCCGTGGTGTTTTTCCAGGCCTGTGGTGTCCACATCATCTGTTGTCCCTTCAGCAGCTGAGGTGTCCACATCAACTCGTGGTCCTTCAGTGCCTGTGGTGGCCGCATCGTCTAATGTCCCTTCAATGGCTGAGGTGTCCCCGTCACCTTGTGGTCCTTCAGTGCCTGTGGTGTCCATATCGTCTATTGTCCTTTCCATGGCTGAGGTGTCCACATCACTTTGTGGTCCTAAAGTGCCTGTGGTGTCCGTATAGTCTATTGTCCCTTTAATGGCCGAGGTGTCCACATCACTTTGTGGTCCTTCAGTGCCTGTGGTGTCCACATTGTCTACTGTACCTTCAACAGCTGGGGTGTCCACATCACCTTGTGGTTGTTCAGTGCCTGTGGTGTCCACGTAATGTGATGTCCCTTCAACAGCTGGGGTGTCCACATCACCTTGTGGTCCTTCAGTGCATGTGGTGTCCACATCATCTGGTATCCCTTCAATGTTCACTTCATCTGATATTCCTGCCTTGCCTGTGATTTTCACATCACCTGGTGGTCCTTCCGAGCCTGTGGTGTCCACATCACCTGGTGGTCCTTCAGGTCCCGTGGTGTCCACATCACCTGGTGGTCCTTCCACGCCTGCAGTGTCCTTATCTTCAGGTGGTCCTTCCAAGCATCCGGTGTCCACATCGCCTGATTCACCTTCATTATCACCTTTTTTTGGTGTTTGTCCCAGGCCTGTAGAGTCAATATTTACATTTTCTGGTGTTCCCTCAAGACCAGTGACATTTACACGCTCTCCTGGGACCACCGTAGTTATTTTAGGTCTCAGGTGGTGAATGGTTTTTCTTCCCTTTTTCATTCTTATACCCCTGAAGTCCTTATGCACGTCGAATATGTTTCTGCCTAGAATTTCAAAAATGAAACGATGCAAGGCTTCCTTGCTATCAATATGGCCTCCTTGGTGACAGTGTTTCCTATTGACTTCTGGTAAGAACTTATAAACCATTCCTCTATTTCTTTAGCTGGTGGTAGCGAACATTTTCCTGTTGATTTGTAACAGTGTATTATTTGTTAAATATAAATTTATTAATCAACAATGGATCTATTATTAAACAAGGTATGAAATAAAGTTATTTAAGGAATATCAATGAAGTTTAATTGATCTTTGGTCAATTTAAGACAACAAAGGTTTTTATTTTGAAGCCTATGTTTTCAATTTTTACTTGAATTTGAGGTTCAAGACAAATGACAACATTCAAGTTTTGATTTAAATTCCATCAGAAACATATACTTCTGATTCAATGTCACAGGGATAAAATTAATAGGTGTAAAGTGTAAGATCTGAGAAAAATTATTAGCACTTGATTTACACTGGTTTGGTAGAGTGCTTCCGAGAAAATAGAAATGAAGGAACTTAACATGGATAAATTTCAAATGACACCAGTGACCCCTCGACAGTGCCTAGAGTTTATTTGAACACTTTTTATCTGTAAACTGAAATAATAGAAATGGAGATACTAGTTCGCACTGCTTACAGTGTAGCCAACGTTAACTTAAAATAAGCACATTGGGATCTTATATTATCGTTAAAAATGTATCAATAATCAATTTATAAAAGAATCAGACCTCCTCCTTGGACCAGCTACAAGAGAGAGTGACACTACATCTTGCTTAAACTCTTTCAGAATCTGTTTATCAAGTAGCTGGTAAAAAGAAAAACAAACAAACAAACATGTCATCTACCTTCAAAAACCTTAAGTACAATAATAATGCTTTGGCTAATGTAATAAAAAATGGCTGGGAGCCTTTCTATAGCCATCAAATATACATATTGAAAAAGCATTCCAGCCCGAACACAATAGTTTCCTTTAATCTGAGGGTTCAGGTACAATCTAAGCTAGTTGACTTTTGATCCTCTATTCAACTGAATCATAACTGTATGTGATATATGATGACATCCTAATGTTATTGTTTTAAAATTGTTGCCTCAAAATGCCCCCTTAATACTAACCTGTGTGCCTCTAAAGAATAGTTTTTGGTTTCGTGGTAAAATCTGAGTTAAACTCTGGATTTTCAGCTTCAAATCAATCACATTTGTTGTATGGGGCATTGTCAGCTCCAGACGTTCTCGCCTGTGGTACACCAGAATTAACATTCTAAAATGAGTTCAAAAAAATGTTGTTGGCATTGTATTGTTAACGATTTTGAAATGAAATACAGTTATTTGATATTGTAATTTATAATCATATATTAGAATGTAAACAATTAAGTTTGTTGAGGCTTAAGAATATTCCATGCATATTGCAAAATTAAATTACGTACAGTTGACTCCCAATAACTTGAATCCTCACTAACTAGAACCAAAATCAATTTCCACTGGATTTTCTTCATACATTTTCCGTAATTTTACCCTCGATAACTTGATGAGCATGTTTTTAGCACTTATATAACAACAGGAAAAAAGACAAACAGTGTACTTGTGTCCAGAAACATTGAATTTTGAATTTCCCTTTGACGTGTTGTAGGCATATAGCTTACATGTAAATGCTGGCATTTTTTTGTCACAAATTTAATGTGAAACAGCCTTACTTCTCAAAACAGTAAAACATGTGCACTATTTAGGCTGTTTTGTTATGTAATGTTTTCATTTACGCTCTAGAAGTATCTCTCAATTTTCACCCACAAAAAAATTTAAAATGTGATTTCAATGTTTACTGTACAGTTAAAACTACTGTAGTTTTATCCTTATATCCGCTTAAGTGCTTCTAGCTCCTGGTAATTTGATACCTCGAACTTTCTTCTTTTTCCATTGAAGGGAGTCGACTACATAAAAAGATGCAGCAGCACCCCTTCTTGAAGGGGCCTCCCACCCCCCACCTCATTTTTATTTTTCTGGATTGCAAGAAATAACTAGGAAACTGAAGTTCAATTTGCCTTCTCAACATCTCAGTGTTTGTAAGTTGCTAAGGTTGGAATTTCAAGGTGGTGTCACTCAAAAATACATATCAATTTTATCTCACCGTTTCTTGACAGATCAAAGACATTCAAGCATATAACAATATTATCATGATATCAGCTGGGATCAGTGCAGAAATTTAAGAGTATAAATGTGCAAGAAATGACTCAAACTTTTGTTCTGTAAAGTCAAAATCAGCCACAGTGTAGGATTGGAATTGCTGACTTTGCAGACTTTGTAAAATTATGCATCACGTGGCCTCAAAATCTGTGTTTCTCACTTAAAAGGTGATTGTTTTATAAACCTATGATAAATAGGCACCTGTCTCTCAAGTTGAGAACTGGAAATAAGTCATCTTCTTCAACATCAGTTCTGCAAAAGCCCATATTTTTGGAGAGTTCTGTGGCATATGGCCTCTTAAGCTTCTTCTTAGCAGACTTTTTGGCCTATTGAGATTGAAATTTCAATAACAATATATTCCTGCTGTGAGATGTGTTCAACCTTAAATAATAATAAAATAATCGTTTTAATGATAACCCTGTCTCAACTGGACAGCTGACTGGAACTCAATATATAAGTTGACCAAGTCAGCCCTAATTAAAGTAAGTCCACAAAAATTAGATCAAGGTATCAGCAAAACCTTGATTGAAAATTCACTTCAACAAATGATATGGATAGATGATTTCATTTAGGCTGGCTTACATGTTACATGTAGGCATTTGGCAATTTTTTCCCAAACTATTGTAAGCCTACCTTTAAATAGACAAGTGTCAATAATTTCAAGTTTCATGGTCATGCTACCCCCACTCCTCTTTTCATAAGTTGTTTACCAGATAAATTTCATGACGCTTTGTAAATTTTTGAAAAAGAGGGGATCTTACTGACAATTTATAATTAAACAGTATCACCACGGCTTGATATATAGGTGTCAACTTTAACAGTTGCCAATGAAAGCAAGCTGAATCATTTATTTATATTACATTTACTCTTTTAAAGTTTTGTTTCAATATTTAGTTTGATCAGTAAAAGATATTTCACATAACAATGTACTTATGCTCCAGAAATAACAATCAATAGAATTTTTTGATAGCTATTGACATATAATTATCGATTATCTTTACCTTCCTCACATGATGACTCCTCTGGGGCTTTGCATTATTACTCCTGTGACTTGTTAAAGAGTTGCTCCTCCTCTTCCTTTTAATCTTTTTTGATATACTTATTTGTTCAAAGCTAGGTTCAGGCTTAGAGAAAAACTTTCTATACGATCTCAAGTTAAAATTCCAGTCCTGAATATGATTTGACACAGCAATAAATAAAACAATAACATTGTCAGAGAAAAAGTATGACTAATTTGTTAGGTCGTTAGGTCAAATGATCATTTGGCTATTTTTTAGCTTATATAGGTCGCGGAGGGGAACATCATTAGCTGCCCTTTATTAGTGGCAAACATCCTTCCGAATAGAGGTTGTTGCGGGTACTAAAGAGGGTCAACTGGTCCACAGCCAATTAGTCACTATCTTTTTTTTCGTGATAGTTTCGTGACCTTTAGTAACGGCAAACTACCCTCAAAATAGAGGTTGTTGCGGGAACTAGAGAGGGTCAACTGGTCCTCAGCCAATTAGTCACTATGCTTTTTGGTGACCATTGCGTGACCTTTTGGTAACGGCAAACTACCCTCAAAATAGAGGTTGTTGCGGGAGCTAGATAAAGTCAACTGGTCCTCAGCCAATTAGTCACTATGTTTTTTTGGTGACCATTGCGTGACCTTTTAGTAACGGCAAACTACCCTCAAAATAGAGGTTGTTGCGGGAACTAGAGAGGGTCAACTGGTCCTCAGCCAATTAGTCACTATCTTTTTTTGGTGACAGTTTCGTGACCTTTAGTAATGGCAAACTACCCTCAAACTAGAGGTTGTTGCGGGAACTAGAGAGGGTCAACTGTTCCTCACCCAACATTTTTTTGAGGACCATTATTTCCCCATTACTGGTTAGAAACATGAAAATACTTGGCCAAATAGAGTTACCCAACCCCCTGATCGTTCTAAGTAAAAAGTGCCATTTAAAGAAGAATATCTAAACGTCTGCAAAATTAAGAACTGGAGCATATTTTTTTTGTTAGGGAAAAGTACTCACACAGTAGCAGTAATATTTCGCAATAAAGAAACTAAAACAGATAAATGAGCTTACCACCAACCTTGATCTAACAGGAAACATTCCTGCTGACCTAAAAGTTTACACATTCTTTTATGAGTGGGAGGCTTTACCTGCATATTTTTTGTTGTTGTTTAAGTGTTAGTAGGGTTTCAATTTTGTTGTTCGCTGTGTAATGTATTTTTACTGCCTGACCTATTAAGAGTGGCTGTCTGTAAGGATTGAGAATCGGCGGTCAGCGACCCATTTGGCGAATCCCTGATACTTTGCCCAAAGTAAGCCTCGGGTAGACTGTTTTCAAAAATCACATTCAAAAGTTCCAACGATTTTGCTTATTTGGGAAATTTGAGAAAAATTAAAAGTGCGGTCAAAATGCGGTCAAAGTGCGGTTTTTTGGTTAATCAAAAGGTGCGATTATAAACCTCCGCCCGAAGTCTTAAAATGAAATCAGTTGACCTCAAAATAAAAAGAATTTCAAAGCAATCAATCTTCTACACTACCAAT